CAGAAATCATCAAAGGTGCTTAGCTTTTCATGCCTATGGCATTTGTCTCCAGTTTCTGAAATTTGCCCAGAAAGGTTTTGGAAAGGAACAGAGGGGAGGTCTCACTATTTCCTGCTGCTCAAATGCCACAGTAGTGCACATCTTGATTCCATTAGACTTTGCAGGTCAAAGAGCAAGTTCAGCCGGTGTAGTTTACAGCACCAGGGACAGAGTGACTAGCCATAATGACTTGCCTTTCTGCGGCAACTTACTGAGGAAATAGGGGTTGCTAACCACTGAAATGTTTGTATCCAGCTGACGGGGTGGGGGTGTTTGCTTGTTAACTGGGAAATAGACTCCTAACAAGTGCAGGAAGTGCACTGACATTTTGTCCTGTGATCCTGTGGGGGTTCTCCCTTGTGTCTTCCCAGTTGCTCCTTTGGGGCTCTCCAGGGAAACAGGCTGCTTGGGCTTGCAGGACTCTGGTTGGTGGCAGCTTCCTAGTTAGGAGCGCTCTTAGTGGTCAGCTTCTGTTGGTGTCCACCACTTCTCTAAAAATTCATGTTGGTGCTAGGACCTAACTTCTAGATCGCAGTTACTAGAAGAATCACTTCTGACCGTTTTTTTTTTTTCTTTCTTGTGTTTCTGTTTCCATCAGAGAGTGTCTTTCTACAGAGAAGACTGTTTTCCATAAGCGGCTACTCACTTACAGTTCTTCTCACAGTTTATTTTTTGTTTCATTCTGTATTTTGTTGCCTCTAAAAAGCACAACATTTTAAACAGAAATTTGGACTTTTTTTTTTTTTTTGCTCTACTGTCTACCAGGTCCCTTAGTTCAGGCTTACCATGTAGGCCTCCTTTCTGTCCGATGTATTAAGAAAACAGCAAGGCTAATCGCACCAAACTTAAAGCTGTTGATGCTGCTTACACATCCTTGCCTTGTCTTCTTGAATGTTTCCAAAGGATGTAGCTCAGTGGTGGAACTCAGTCTCCATGAGAGAAAGGGAGAGACACCACAGTGTTTTCAAGAGCCCTTGTCCATTGTGTCACCCAGAAAGATGCAGCTTGCTCCACAGCCTGCGTATTCCCAAAAGGACGGGTTTTGCAAAAGAGGCTTTCTTCAGCAACAGGCAAACGTGAGATGCCAGCAGTCCTAGATATCACTTGTCTCTCCGGATAGGTTCAGGGATGTTTGGGGGCATGGAAACCAGATAATCAAAGACACAAGAGAAACAGTTGGAAGTTAAGTGGGTGTCCTTGCATCTGGCTAGCCAGGCGTCATGAAAAGTGATGGCTTTATTGTTCTCTGACAATGAGATTTGAGGTTTCTTAGTTGTCTTTTTTTTTTTATTTCTCAAGACAGACAAATCTGGTCTCAAATTTATGGTAGTCCTCCTGCCTCTGCTTCCACCCAGGTACTTAGATTAGAAGTGTGATGATTCTTCTTCATGCCAGGCTTGAGCATGGAGCTTTGCTCCACCAGATGCTTCCAGTGGGCCCATTCCAACTAGTTTTAGCCATTGCTAAGTTCCTGAAAACCTTGGGGACCCATATGGCAGAGTTACTGTCTGTAGTAAAGCAACAGGGATGCATTGCTGCCTTGGCTAGACAATGTCTACAACTGCTGAGAGTAGAAGGTCTCGGTTTGGGCTCAAGGGGACACTGAGATAGACTGTCTTTTTGAATGAGAGATTGGTTTATTAGAAGAACTCTTAATGCCAAGAAAAGCCAGCATGGCAGTGGTCCTGGGGAAAGTTGAGGCCCACATGACAAAGTGAGATTGCTTCCTTACAGGTTCTAGAAGAGGAGGAGATTCTGTGCCAGGCAGGTCCGTAGTAAATGCTTGCAAGTTGGGCAGTCTCTGGTTCCCTGATGGCAATGGGAGGGGACTGTTTCTTGCATTCTGCAGAAAAAAATGTATGACCTTGAGGATGTGGAGGAAATGAGGAAAGGCACCCAGTTAGTGTGCAGTCATTGTACTGGATGTACAGGTTTGGGTGACCCAATAGCTTGGGGTCTGCTAGCCTAGAGCCTTGTGTGCAGAATCAGCTGTCAGGATGGGGAGACACAGCTCAAGTGTGATCTGGGCAGCATCTGCAGTGGCTCCCAGCGGAAAGCAGGTGAAGCTCCAGAGCCTTATTCGTGTTTTCTTTGGGCATTGATAGGATTCGTTGAGAAGTTATTAAAATGATAATATAACAAAGAGAACAATACTGTCTGTATCCCTAGCTGTCCAAGCATGCTGTTTATGAAAGAATTGGAATTCAGTCAAAATATTTCAACAATATAGAATAATTTCACCTTTACAGGTTGTGCTTTTTTTCTTTTTTATTGCCTCTACCAACCCAACCAAGTATGTGTGTGTGCATAAATGTAGAGGCCAGAGACTAGTCATTTCTCTCCTCCCACTGTCAAACCCAGGTGGCCCTTGCCAGCCCTCGTGCATTTTCCCTAAATACAAAACTCAAATCACTATAATCTTTGTATTTTGTATTTAAGAAAGGTGTTGATGGCGCCATATAATTATAGTGCTGATATTGATTGATCATTTGCTCTTGGCCTAATGGCGAGTGTGTGATCCTGACAATGAGTACACAGAAACACAGCACCCTCGCGGACAGTGCACACTTCTCATCCCAACTCCTTATGTCCTCAAAGAAAACAGATGATAACCATCACCAGGAAGCTGTGCAGTACAGTCAAACAGCTTGAGCACCTTCAGCATCAAGGTTATATTTGTTTCAGATGTTCAGTGGTCTTATTTAGACTGTCTTTTCCTTCAGTGCTTACAAGAGCCTGGTTGTATAAGCCACCTGCCGTTTTCCCCAGTTCCATGTGTTGAGACAGTAAAAGTGATACTCGGATCCATGCTCTCTTCCAACAGCAAAGCTAGTTAATTTTTTTTATTTTCATGTTGTAAACTGATCTGTGGCCCACATTTTTTAGTATTACTTATTCAGAGTTTAGTAGATCTACTCATCCAAAATAAAATCTTAGACTATTTAAATGATAGTCTTCCAGTTTGTGGCCTCACTAAACTTTTCCATATGACTGCAGTTGAAGCTCAATTATCTTAACAAAAGTCAGAAGCAAAGTTAAGCTTCTGCAGTGCATTTTCAGACTCAGCATTTCCTGGGTCAGAACCTACAACTACTTTACATAGTTCTCCTGTAGTAACTCACATTTGTCTCTTTAGATGACCTAGTGAAGGGTGGGTTCGGGTCCATGGGCAGTTTGTTCCCCCAGTTTGTTCCGATTGTTTGTAAGTTTCTTCTCCTTGATCTTTACTTCCTGTACATGAACTGCAGAGTAGTTAGCCAGACTGTGGCAAAGAGTAGGGTGGAAAGTGAGGCCAAATTTAGCATAGTATTGCAGTTTGCACAGAGAAACTGAAAACTCTCACCATGAAAGCTGATGTGTAGCAGTGTACAGAGAATAGATTTATTCTATGCAAATGATCCCCAAACCCAAGACTATTAACATTGCATTTCTTTGTACAGTCCTCCACTGAGCCTCTACCCTTTTACCAGCTCTGGCCCGCTTTATTTTATGGAAAGGTTTTCTTTCCTAATAAACTATAGCTACTTCTACCACTGTCTTTATGTCCCTGTTCCAGTTCCTCACTGGAAGAAATACCAATGGGTGCCCACTGAGCCCCAATATCTGCCTGTAATAAAACCACCGGTAATCTGTGATGCTTAAATTATTGTTTTAAAGTATATATAAAGGTCATTGACAACAAAGTCACAATCCTAAATGTGTATGCAGTGATGATATCAAAATACTTCATGATGTTCAGCTGTAATTCTAAGTCCATTTTCTTAAAGTTTACAAATCAGGGCTGTTTCAGTAGGTGAAGACATTTGCTCCCAAGCTTGACAACCTGAGTTCAGTTCCCATTTTGGAAACAAAGAAAGAATAATGTACATATCCCACAAGGGAACAAGACAAGAGTAGCTCAGCAAGGCAATTCTTTTTTAAAAGGTACAGCATGACTCGAACTGGACTTGCAAGCCGCCAGGACAGGCACTCACTTGACTTTTGTTCTGACACAGGTCATAACTGTTTCTTTTCCCAATCAGCTGGGGGCCAATCTCACAGTCTTTTGCTGTTGCCTAGTTTTTAAAGAATCAGCATGAAGGAGGAGGTAGGGGTTAAGATTTGTATAAAAATCATACACGCTATGGGGAAATTTGTGAAATATTGGTGCTTGGTGAGCAAATTACCTTTAAAAAAGTTTTTTTTAACACCCAAGATGCTACATGATGAAAGAGAGAACAGAGTCCCGCAAGTCATCCTTGCTTCCATGCATGCATAGGCTTACATTTTATTTTATTTTTGAGTCAGGGTCTTACTATGTAGCTCTTGCTAGCTTGGTCCTCACTAAGAAGACCAGGTTGGCCTTGAATTCACAGAGATCAGCTTGCCTCTACCCCTCAAGGGCTGGGATTATTAAAGCCATGTGTCACCTTTTCTGGCCTTTTTTACTTTTTAGTTGAAAAAAAATATAAAAAGGAATTCCTACATATAGTTGTAGCTTAATTTTAAAAATAAAGTTAGTGACTATTTTATTTAGTTGGTGCAATCTTGTCATGTATATGCTTTAACATGTAATTCTTCCTGCTGATAAGTACTGTGTTTCAGACCATGGGACTATCCGTTTCAGATACTGATAACGCTAAGAAGCCAAATCTCATAGAAGAAATCTTCGGCGCACACACACATACACACATACACATGGGGCGGGGGATGGGGGACAAGAGTGTGATTCCAGCAAAGAGGCTACGCTGTGCTGCAATTTTTACCCAACTTTAGGTTCTACCCAGTACCTGACTCCTCCACGCTCTTTGTTAAGTAAATAATGTTGAACTAAATCCCATGGTATAGAACTTCCTGCCACCCACCCCCCATGAATGATGTGAAAGTCAGATGTTTTCCTCTGTTCTCCAGATTTTTCTTTATAGAACTACAAAGAATTATTTCAAGTTTGGATCGGTACTCATGTTTTCTTTCCTTTGCAGGCAAGAAGCTCTTCTGGCTGCTATTAGTGAAAAGGATGCTAATATAGCTCTTCTAGAGCTTTCGTCCTCTAAGAAAAAGACCCAAGAGGAAGTGGCTGCACTGAAACGGGAAAAGGACCGCCTGGTGCAGCAGCTCAAACACCAGGTATTAACGGTGCCCGGGGCAGAGGAGGCAACCAGAGTGCAGCCAATGTCCCACTGCCCTTTCAAAAATGTCTTTATTACTGTGTATGTCTTTGTGTTTCATGCTAGACATCAAATACAGAAGATTTTTGTAGAGACTTTACAGGTCTTCTATCTCTTTAAAAAAAAATCATAGAATTCTCAGTGATTGGACTAAATTAGAAGATGTCACAGGTCCTGTTTTTTTTTTAACCAAATGTTACAAAAATTAGTGATCAATCTTTTATTTATACTCATACTTGATTACTTATAATGTTGAACATGTACCTTCTCTGTGTTTGCATCTTTTAGGGTTCCATTTGCTTTCATCTTATTGAGAAAAGGTCTTGCTATGTAGCTCTGGCCAACCCAGTAGTCAGTTTTTAACCCAGGCTGGTCTTGAATTCATGACACTCCCCCTGCCAGAGCTTCCCCAGTGCTGGGATTATAAGTGTGTACCACCATGCCCAGCTGTGTCTATACAATTTTGTCAGTTTCTAACAAGAGGACTTAAGTAACAGTATGATTCTGTTTCACTGTTGGTAAAGTCAGAACAGATCATCCATCTGCAATGTCAGTGGTTACTAAGAGCTGCACTTTCCTCCAGTGTCCATGGCCCGGTCAGTGCCTGCTTCAGCTCTATGACTTGTAAGCCGACTTACAGACTTCTCAGCCCCCTCTCTCCAGGACCTCTCTTCCTTGGACCACACTCTTTACTGTCAACAGATCCTCCTAGATTCTCACCTGAATTTATTTAGCAGCATTCACCAATTATTATTAAATACTTAGTGTGTATTAGGACTTGTGACAGCTGTTAATACAGCAGACATGACCCTGAATACATGCACTTATTACAAGATCATCCATCCATTTATTCAGCATTGTGGATATTTTGTCACACGAGGGTGCTCACATATTTCCTTCCAGTTATACCAGAGAACTGAAGAATAACATTTTTTATTACTCATTTTTTTAAACATCTTCACAGATGACTTTAGCAAATCTCATTTTAAGATCCTAGGAGTACACTGGGTGGTGGTGATGCACGCCTTTAATCCCAACACTTGAGAGGCAGAGGCAGGCGGATCTCTGTGAGTTCAAGGCCCGCCTATAGAATGAGTCCTAGGATGTCTAACTCTGCTTTACACAGAGAAACCCTGTCTTGGAAAACCAAAAAAAAAAAAAAGCAAAAAGAAAAATTATCCTGGAAGAAGTTTGTCTTTGATCATTATTGTAAAAAAACTGTCAAGTTCTAGAGTGTGAGTAGAACTATAGATTATGAGTTTAGGGTTAAAATTAACGGATTAGTGATATAAAAACTAAGCAGGTTGTAAATAATGTATCTACTCATGGTAAAAAGACTTCAGTGAGTTGCAATATATTTATGCTTCATTTCCCTCAACTATAAAATGAATATTATGGAACTCTTCAGAGAGCCAAGATCTTCTTGAGAAGACTAGTTAGTGCCTCAGCGCAAAACTGCAGTGTATCGGTTTCTGAGTGTATGCCCCAGAAGTGCCTGGGAGCTGGCTGACCATCGTGTCTTTGAGCCGTTCAATCTCTGTGCCCTGCTCAGTTGACTAGAGCCCATTCCTGGGCCCATTTATGTTTCTTTTTACTTTGAAGGCTGAGCATCACTTTTTTAGTTCTGAAGTCTTAATCTAGGTGTCTGCTGATACTATTTATACTCAAGGGACTAGCTCGGGGTGGGGGTATTTTCCTAGTTTTCTGTTGTGTTATAGTTTAACTTTTGACCCTTCAATTCCAATTTATTTCCCTGATCCCCAAGTTCTTACAGTAAGGGGTATTTGACTGTTTCTAAGTATTTCCATGCAGTTGGGGGAAATACCCATCAATGAAGTATTGTTTTTAACTTTATTTGTTTGTGTCTTTTGTTGGTCACACGTGTCACCGTGTGCATGTGGAGGCTAGAGGACAACTTGCAGAAGTCTGTTCTGGGGAAAACTTGGTTGCCAGGCTTCATAGCAAGTGTCTTCCCCTCCTGAGTCACATCACAGGCCCCAAATGATACTCTTAGTAATTCTTTCATGTGCTCTGTCCGTTGTATAGTTGCCAGGTGTTTGTCTCTCTGGGAATTACTAGGAGACACGACACTTTATTGTCTACCTTCACTCCTGTTTACTGCTTCACCATGTAAAGCTAATTGCTATGACACCACTGATTTGGACCTTGAGATAAGCCTACACTTTGGTTTGGCGCATCTTGGATTGTAGCAGACCTAGCAAACATCCACTTATCTGAAAACCAACATTTGTACATACTTTCAAATGTCTCCTGAATCCTGCTGGTATGCTGGTTCCCACAATGACAGTTGCCAGTGTTCTGTCCATATTCCATTCATAAGCAAGCTGTCTGTCTCCAGTTGTCTATGCACTCTCTGACTCCTTCCCTAGAGACATTTTAGTCCCTACTCGTGGTCTTTCACTTTGTGCCTGCTCTCCTAGGCTGTGGGACTGGCCGTGGACCACCCGGAACATGATTATTGCTCTCCTTTCCTCCGTCTCTCACCGCAGCTCGCTCTGTTGTCTGTGGTGCTTCCTGAGCCTATTGCAACCCTTTGTGACTGAGGCATGCAAGTGCAAAGTACTCGCTTCCTCCAACTTCGCTTTTGGTGCCCACACTTTTATTACCTCCAGGAGAGGAAATACAGCGTGGGTATCAGTTCTTCCTTAACCGGGGCAGATCATTTTACTTGTAAATGTTTGTCTTTCTTTTCCTATCGTGAAGATTCTACTAACAGTTGTAAATCTCCTGCTAAACATGTAAATGGTGCCATTTATTTTTCTTTAACTTACTAGGTTTTATTTTTTATTTTTTTTAAATATTTATTTATTTATTTATTTACTTATTAAGCATACAATGTACTGCTGGCAAGGAAGGCACCAGGTCTCATCACAGATGGTTGCTGGGAATCAAACTCGGGACCTCTGGACGAGCAGCCAGTGCTCTTACCCTCTGAGCCATCTCTCCAGCCCCTTACTAGGTTTTAAAAAGAACTTTTATTAATGTTATTTAGAGGTTTATCAGATTTTTTTTAAACTCAGATTGGGTTTTTTTAATTCTTGGTCTTAGGCCTTGACCTACCCATTGGAGCAAATTTTTTTTTGTTTTGTTGTTGTTGTTGTTGTCATCATTTTTTATTTTTGTTTGTACATCCTGACCACAGTTTCCCTTCTCTCCTCTCCTCCCAGTTTCTCCTCCTCTCTTTTTCTTCATAAAATGGAAGATTTCCCATGGATATCAACCAGCCATGGTATATCAAGGGTATATCAACTTTTTTAAAAATACTATCTTTCATTTATTCTTTGACAGTTTCCTACATGTATACAATTTAACTTGATCACATCTACTACGAGAATCCTCAATACACCTTCCCGCACCTTCATATGCTCCACCCACACTGAGTCCAATTAGTGCTGCCTACTGGAATGTTGGCTTTTGTATAGGTAAGCATCGTTGTACCTAGTTCATGAGTGCAGCAGCCACATCCTGTCTGGGAACTGGTGCTTCAGAGCAGTCCTCCTCATCTCTGCTTTCACACTCTTTCTGCTGCATCTCCGCAAGTTCCCCGAGCCTTTGTGGGCTTGATAGAAATGTCACATTTAGGATGAGCACTGAATGGACATATAGTTCCAACATTTGACCAGTTAAGAGTCCTTTCATTAATTGTTGCTCACTGTGGAAAGAGCCTTCTCTGGCCAAGGTTGGAAACAACTCTAGTCTAAGGCTGTAAATGTAAATATTTAGAAGGCAATTTGACAACATTTCCATTCATCCAAACAATGGTAGTAGGTTCCCCTAGGATCTTTGACCTCCTAAGCCATGGGTTTTGGGTTAGGTTTTCAGTGTGGAACAACATACTAAATATGCAGATTCTTACCTATCAGATTGACTGTTCACGCTCTGTATTACATATAGAGATCTCTTCTAACTCAAGTAAAATTGTGTAAAGAAACACTAAAGATCTAATATGAACCAAACTTGATGAAAGTCACCATTTTTGATTTATTTTCTTTCTCTATAAAGAAAAAAATGTTGGATAAAAAGTCTTTCTAGCCAGCCAAGAAAATAGAGCTAGTTACAGGTTTAAAGCCTTTCATTATGAATTAAATTTGGAATGGGAGTCTTTTGCCAATAAAAATAGTGGAGAATAAGCCTTTAAAGCTACATACATAATGTAGAATCCTGAGTTACCATCATTTTTCATGTTTAAGAAATGATGACAAGAAAAATCTTTTCCAGTATTTTTGATCCATGGTTTGTTTAACTAACAGACAAGGGGCTTTTGGATTTAAAGGGCTAGCTTTATTCAAAATTTAAAAATCAGCATGTATACAGATCATACAATTTTTTTTCTTGTCATTATTCTCTATACGATGCTAAACATTTATATTGACATTAAGTTTATAGAAGAATATGCATAAATTATATGTGTCTACTATGTCATTTTATATAAAGGACCTGAATGTCCTCAGGCTTTGGTATCTATGGAGGAGGGAGTCTTGGAGATTAGAACCAATTCTCCACTGATACCAAAGTATGATTTTCAATTCAAATATGGACTAAGGTACTATATTGTATGGTGTGTTGGTCTCGTTTTTCACTTTCAGTGTGTTATTTTAATACACATATATGTATATATGTATAAATAATTTTAGTTTCATTTTTACTTGTGCACCAAGAGTGGCCACATTTGCATATTCTCTTTTGTGTTCACTATGAATAATGCAAAGACACTGACAGCAGTGTCAGTGTTGGGACTGGTGGTTCCCTAGCTGGGCATTCAGTTCCTTCATGTAAATTTCTGTACTTTGAACATGACTGAAGTTCTAGAGCAGGGTGAGAAATATCTCCATGTGTTCCTCACTCTCCCTGGAATCCTTTGGCAGCCTACTTCAAGTCTGTGTCTCACTTACATGGATTTGCACCCGTATTCTCCTTCTTGCCTGCTCACGCAGCTCT